AAGGACCACCTACCAACCTGTACGGCACAAAAGAACACAATATTTTAAAACATATTGATTGCAGCAGTAACGAGATATTTAATTTGCACACCCTATATACGATGCCCACCTAAAGTAGAATTTTCAACACCACGTGATAATGTCAAAGTGACATCTTTCTGTAGCATGCACTTTATTCAGGTCCTGATAATTTTGCGTACAAACCTTAGGAAATGAAGAAGATTGGTGTTTTGACTGCGCTCTTATATGTGCTTCCAATACTGACAAAGGCATTCTCTGTAAGCAGTGCAAGTTAAGCTTGGTCATTATTTTCAAAGACGCGCTATTTAGACCATATGGGAATATCCGACGGAGCAGTGTTACAGGACGTATGGAAAGACCTACATAGAATTTGAGAAGTACAACATTACAACGAATACAAGTATGTTACTTGTTTACATGTAACGATAAACAAACGAAGAACGGCTCCTTTCGGTGCAAAGATTTTTTCTTTAGGGAAAATCTTAGGTTTGCTTTTATATGAGAGCTTAGTGCCCAAATTACAATTCATTGTTGTTTACCGTATTTTTTGACTTCGGGTAGACTTCACGTTTGACGGAGACAAAATTGTGATATTCTACGAAGATACTTTTGGAGTTTATCCATACTACGAAAATTACAGTATGAATCACCCAGTCAACGGAGGTCTTCCTCAGGTAAGTTACCACAGAAAAAAGGTAAACTTCATGCATGCACTAATGCCTATTCAGAAATGCGATTTGAGGACTCATTTGAAAAAGGCAAGAGAGGATATCGAAAAGCGCATTCCTGATGAGAACTTCAGCGGATTGGCCATAATTGACTTTGAAAGATGGCGCCCCCTTTTTTCTGAAAATGATTGGATGAAGAAACGAGTAAGTGTATCGAGTAATGCCAGTGCAGTCTAGAGAACAGAACAAAAAAGTCCGCTAAATCTTCTTCCAAAAGTTATTCCAATATGAATCGATCCGGTTGTATAGCAGGACTCC